AACAAAAACATGCCCATCCCATCACAGTAACCTGAAAAAACTTACTACGAGATCAAAGAATGGGCGACTAGGGAGCATAAAGGGTCTTTACCATATCTGTATCATTCACAGAGTTAAAAAAAGATCTGCTTGATATCACACCTCTTCTACCATCTCCACCAAATCTAACTTCTGAGTTACAAAATCAGATTTTGGGTTAGCTTTCTGTCACCTTCCCTTCGACTTCTAGCCAACAGATTTTGCTCTGAATGGGGATCCAAATAGATACCTCAATCTCCCTTTACCTTTTGCATCACTTTTGGCAACAACACCCATGTCTGCCATTAGAGCCACAAAACTAAGCTTCACATTCGATGCAGTCATCTCTATGTACCCTATGTCTGGACGATTTAATCTGTAGAACACTTAAAATTTTTACCATTTATCCACATCACTGGAAAATTGGCACTGGTTTTATGTGCCTCACTTACTATAATGGGCTCTGCATAGCATTGAGCAACGAAATCTTACCTCACTTAAGGTACCTATTTGTTACACATTAATATGGCTGCTAAAAATCACTACCCTCATATATAACTCTCCTTTCTATACGTCTGTCTAGCAACTGCTCATCTGCCTATCACTGCAATAAAAAAAGCAGCACACAGGGATGCTACAAGGGCACACATGACTCAATTCTCACACTGCTGATTAAGACACCATCATCCTCTCAACTGACTGACGTCAGTTCCCACCCTGCAGTCCTTATCTTTTCAGAAGCTACCAAAACATCTACTAAACCACTACGTTTTGTTCTTATGGTTCTTTTGCTAAACTACATAAATAAGAATTTCAACAGCAGTTAGACTGCCCGCACACTGGCCATCATCTACCTCCTTATCAATGCTGGCCTAATGTCACCTAGTCTCAACTTGCATTTGGGCCAAAAGTATTTTGGCCACAGACATCATTTTAAATTGCTAGTATTAGGTTCAACCACCCCCAGTGGAATTTCTAATGTTTGTATGTCTGTTAATATGTATACCATAACAGAGAATCATAGAACAGTTAGGGTTGGAAAGGACCTTAAGATCACCTAGTTCCAACTCCCGTCATAACTTTAAAAATGTCAGGTTTTTGAAGTAACCATACTAAAATTTTTTCCATTCCTTTCTCATTTCCTCCAACTTTCCATTCTTCTCTACATCCGGCTTTACCTTAGCAGGTTGCACAGTGTTTTCCTACACTGACCCCATTCTTCAAATCTTTACACATTTTGTCTTAAAGTCATATCTCCTCTACATCATCCTAATTTTCTTTGAAGATGACATTATATACATTATACTTCTCCATCTTGTACCATTTCTCTTTTCATTCAGATTCAAGCTGAAGACTTTTATCAAGCCTTCTCAGAAGTAAAAGTCATTCATGCAAAGAATCAAATGTTTCCCTGGTAAGAGACAGCATATTGTTGGACTTCTTGTAAGATGATATCCCTGATCTTATGCTTTATGCTGTGAGTCAACACTCAGCTACAAAGCTCCTGTTTTATTTGACACTGTTTTCTCTCCTCTTAGCTGGAGGAAGTTTTTAAATCATTTCTGAATTGCAAATGCTCTTAAAAATACATTCTTTTGACAGTTTCTTCCTTTCTTGAGTGTTTAGGAACCCATAAAGCTAGAAGGGAAAAACAACACTCCAATTTCAGCTTTCTTGCTAGTGCCAGGGTTGCTCACCAAAATTATACCATCCCATAGGCTGACAGTGAGCTTCATCTCCAGTGGTGGTGTCCTTAGTTAACCTTCACATCTCTTACAGCTTTCACAGGTGCTCAAAGTTTAAACTGATGAGAACTGGAATGGTGTCAGCATTGCTCAAGCGAAATAGAAAGATCAATACTCGACAGTTCCAGATACGAGTTAGCAGTGTAGGGACCCGAGACATCTTCAAGCATTAAAGACAGTGGTGCTCTCACTGATTCATGAAACCGGTATTTGGTTCACATTCAGAACATTGCCACCACTAGCTGGTGGAGGATCCAGACTTTTTTTTTTTTTAAATATACCTAAAATAAAGCATGTTGATGCTACTGGCAGATAATTTTTCAAACCCATGATGGCACATCTTCGCTCATAGTATAGTTTAAAACAAGTCACAAACTACACCTGACAAATCATTAACTCCTTTACAGAGGTACAACGTGTCATTGCAACTGCACAGAGTATCTGACATATAACAGACACGTTCATCTGACTTCTTCAGGTTCTAAATAAATATACATGAGCTCTAAATACCAAAAGACAAAACACTGTTCTCCCATGACCAACACAGAAACAATGGTTCTTTAGCCAGTAACTTCAAAGTACTGACACTCTTCAAAGGACCACAACTCTATACGCAACACTTTACTGGTGTTATACGCACAAAACACAGCTGCAATTTCTACTCTGGTTTTCTCAAGGAGTGCACAGAGTGGCCCACAGAGATAGCAGCATTGATATTAATTTTTCACAAAATCCTTCAGGTGGCATATGGAGAAAAAAATCAAATGAAAAGCAGAAGCAAAACAAGTAGTTTCTAAGGAACAGTTTTAAGTAGTTTAAATAATGTGGGTAATGAAACTGAAGTTCTGATGAATACTTGAGTTTCCAGAGACTTGTAGGTTCTTGAACAGTTCCCATAAGAAAAAATAAATACCATTCCTCCCTCCCTTGCTAGGATTCCTCTGACAGCTGTTTAGGTTCTGAAACAGAGCTAAACTACCTGCTTAGTCAGAAGTCTAGAATTAACACTTCCTATACAAAAGGTCATTCAAAATACAGCACTCACACCGAGTTAAAAAAGCTGTATTTCATCAGACATCTCTGAGCTCTAGCGCTGCAAATTACTAACATCCACATTAAACTACGGAGAGCTCCCAAAAGCTGCTCATTCGGCTTACCAGCTCCACTTCGGATGGGTTCTATTTCATATTGTCAAGCATGTACCAACAAAATATACTAATTTAAGATTGTATGCAAAGAAACATTAACAACTTTACTCAAGTCCTTGAAGAAAGAACACATCCAAGGACATACAAGCATGGAACCAAAAACCATTAGGAAAAAGAAGTTGACCTCACTGCACATCTCCAAAAATTCTGATTTATAGGAAGCTGAGAATACTTTGCTCTATCTTCTCTCATGTCTAAAGCAAAGTTTCAACATACAGCTAATCTGCCATTCAATAAAACTCTATTAGTTCACAGAAAGAACAACCCTGCTATGAATTCTGGGATGAGGTAGATGGGGCCAGAGATTTTCACAGTCATTTAAAAAACTAAGACAGCAATTATCAATTAAGAATCATAAAAACTACTTAATCTAATGAAGGAACTCCTATTTACTCCTGGTAGGTAGCATCAAATCAAGACCGAACTGAACTCAAAGGCACTTCTTGATAAAAACTGAACAAAGAAAAGCCCACACCGGGGGGGGGAAGGAATAAAAGTATAAGTGTCTGCATTTAAAAAATCATCAGTAATAAATCTTCTAGATAACCAAGATCTTGCAGAAAGATCATTATTCACCCTTTCAAGGGAGGACTGCATTTTGAAAATAGGAATCTTAATAACTTTACTCCCTAGCACTATTATACAATGTAAGAAGCATCACGTATTTAGAATTCCTAAACTACTTCCATATTCACACTACAGAGAGAAAGCAAAGGCACAACACAACCAGAAACTGGAGAAGAGTAAACCTCATCAAGTGCTCCTTAACTAGCACCTTAAAAAAAATACACAAAAGCAAACAACCAAAACACAGAACAATTGAGGACCCTACCAGATTCAAGAAATAAGTAAGGGTGCAACTCCATACAAATGTGAGCTGCATGTTATGCATGTGAGGAATGAAGAACAGGGACCCAACTTGTCACCTGCAATGTTGCAGTTAGTTTCATGCAACTATATTGCGTATGTAACGCAGCAATATATACTAAAACCAGAATAATGTGCTTAATATTAGACTGTGGCAGGTACACAGTGAAGTTATGGTTCTATTATTTTTAAGGGGGGCTTTGTTAATTTGCCTCACTGCCCTCACTCTACATCCAGACATCCTTTTTGTAAGATTTAAGTACACAAGTACACCATCACTATGATGTGCTATTTTAAGTCCAAGTCTTTTTTTAATCACACAGCCAACAACAGCATAGTGCATATTAATTATTCACAATGTATGCGCAATTACAGCAGCTCAAGCTTGGGTGGAACACGTTAGTCCTCACACAAAACGCAAGGGCAGGTATGGGCAATCTCTTCTTTAAAACCGACTTACGCAGTTGAATTAACGCCATTCCTACAAGATAACTACTTAACGCACAAACCTTGACACGACGAACGTAGGGGATCATGAACATAATCTTATAGCCTGAAGAGAATCACAGTAGCGTTTACGGATCAGATCACACATGAGCACCGGAGCGAAACTCCCTTTCCCCCACCCCGAGCCGTCTCCAGGCACACGTGTGTTTACTCACGGTCGCTAGCGAAACGCGGCCGCTGTCACTGAGGGACCCGTCGACCGACCCCTGCCCGGCCCTTTCTTCCCCCGCCCTTCCCCAGGGCGACACCGCAAACCCCGCAGCGCGGAGATGCAGCCTCTCACCCACCTCCACGACGGCGAGTCACGCGTGCCCCTTCCCCACAGAGAGCGCCTGCTGAGGCGGCAACCGTACACAACAACCCTCCCCGCTCCGAGGAGCCGCGCAGGAGCAAGGCTGCCCGCGCCAAGACCCCTGCCCAGGGTAAAGGAACGGGTGGGGGAGGTTGCCTGCGCGCCTCATGGCCCCGCCGAGGAGCGGAGGCCGTCTTAGGGTAGAGAGCGAGGCCGGCGCGGTCGCGCAGGTGGGTGGCGGGGACAGGTGCTCCGAGGCCGGGCCACCTGCGGCGGCGGGAGCGCCCGAGGCCGTGCTGGGGGACTGCACCCGGGGAAGAGAGGAAGGGAGCGATCGGTCGGTGGAGGGGCGGTCGGGGTTACCTGTATTTCTTGAAGAGCTGGTCTGACTCGCGAAAGCCGTTGTTCAGCAGCATATTGATGCCGGCCAGCGCCAGCTCCGCGTCCTCGATGGGCAGCGGAGCTTCCCCATCCTCCCGCCGCGGCGGCGGCTGCTCCGAGCCGGCCATAACGATGAGGAGGCAGCGGGACCCAGCCGGCTCTCCTCTGCCTACCTACCCACCTATCTATCTGTCTGCCTGCCTTCCTGCCCCTTCCCGGTGCTACCTCACCGTGCCTGAAGGAGGGAACCGGGGGCACCCAACACTCGCCGCCGGGCCGCGCTCCCCTCACCCGACCGTGCTGCAGCGACCCGCCAGCCGCCTCGCGCCCGCAAGCCCTCCAAAAGCAGCGGCGCCCGCCTCACTCCCCAGCACGCAGGCGCCGAGGAGCCGCGCAAGCGCCGAAGGGCGGCGCGGAGCGCTGCGAGAGGGGGGACGGTGGTAGAGGAGGTTTGCAGCCGCGCAGGCTCTCGGAGCTCTCCGCTGCCCTTGGTCGAGCGCTGCCTGGGGGCCCCGTCCCTGTGGCATTGACCCGAGCCGAGCACTGGTTGCGCGGCTTCGGGAGGGCTTGTGTGTGTGGAGCTTTCTTGTTCTGCTCCGTCCTCCCGTTTGGGTTTTTCCCGTCCACACGCACGCCTCTCCTCACCGGGTGAGTGGGTGACTGCCGGCTTTCCACTCCCCTGAGCCTTCTTGCAAAACCAGCTAGGGTTTTTCACGGGTGGGAAGCGGGAGCTGGGGTTGCAGCAGGGCCTTGGGTGTGAAGGGGCGGAGAATGGGTTAAGAGCAGCCTAAGGAGAAGGACTTGGGGGTGCTGGTCGATGAGAAGAAATTGAACGTGAGCTGGCATGTGTGCGCACAGCCCAGGGACCAACTGTGTGCTTAGCTGCATCAAAAGGAGCATGGCCAGCAAGTCCGCGGTGGTGATGAGGTGGTTTTGCCCCTCTACTCTGCTCTCATGAGACCCCACCTGCAGTACTGCACCTTGCACTGGGGCCACCAACACAAGAGGGATGTGTTGGTGCAAGTCCAGAGGAGACCATGCACCTCTCCTATGAAGGCAGGCTGAGAGAATTGGTCTTGCTCAGAGAAGAGAAGGCTCTGGAGAGACCTTAGAGCAGCTTCCAGTGCCTAAAGGGGCTACAAGAAAGATGGGGAACTTTTTACCAGGGCATATAGTGATAGGACAAGGGGGGATGGCTTTAAACTGAAAGTGTAGAGTTAGATTATATATTAGGAAGTTCTTCCCTGTGAAAGTGATGAGGCACTGCAGAGGTTGTCCAGAGAAGTTGCAGCTGCTCCATCCCTGGCAGTGTTCAAGGGCAGGTTGGATAGAGCTTGGAGCAACCTGGTCTAATGGAAGGTGTCCCTGCCCATGACAAGGGGTTGGAACTGGATGACCTTTAAGGTCCCTTCAAAGCCAAACCATTCATCTTTCTATGAAGCAATGAAGGCCTCCTCCAATAATGGCAACTTTCACTTTCCCAAGGCTTTTTGTTTTTGTTTTGTTTTTTTTTTTTTTGTTAAAGTGATTTCAGTCAGTGAAACTGACTTTCTAGCAGAGACTGGAGTTCCCCATTTGTATAAGTGACTTTGTGACTTCTTAAATGCAAGTCTGGGAAACAGGAGTTTGTAGGAATTTACTCCCTAATTCTTGACACCTACCTCCATTAGTACCAATGTAAACTTGCCTGTGATGTTGACAGCAAAAACTGGGGTTTCCTAAGTTTAGGTCACACACAGGTTAGTCTGGTATGTGTTTGTAAACACAGGATGGGTGAGGAAAGTACACATGCATAAATGTGTTCATTCCAACCCAAAATGGCCAAGTACCTGGACACCAAAAATACACCCACATTGTTTTCACCCTCCTTTGCAGGAAGAGAGTTTCTTTGTTGTGCTTAAATTTCATTGAAGACAAAGGCTGTTACCTACAACCTGGTCTTGCTTCCTGGCAGGACAGTGCTACAGCTGCTTTTGTGAGAATTTAAGGATCAGACTTCCCTTCCCTTAGTAGTATATGAAAGAATGTGACCACACTCTGCTTTTAGTAGCTACCCCTCTTCCCTGTCAAGAAAAAAGTCTGTCTTCCTCTAAATCAAGTAGCATTATTTCTGTGCATGTCTTACAGGAATTGCTACCACCACCTCGGGAAATACTCTACAAAAACCTCTTGAGATGATGCTTTCTGAAAGGTGAGGATTGTGTAATGCTGGGAAGGTTCTGAAATCTGTCAGGTGTGAATCAGGCCCTTTGGCTAATTCCCAGCCCCGCTGTCTAACTGAGCAGAGCTGGATACTCAGAGGGGTTTTGAAGAGAACATGCCTTCTGTTACTGTGCCTGTCTTCAAAACAGCATGATTTATGTAGCCTAGAAAACCTCAAGGGCTTCTAGGAAGTCAGCACAGCGTGAACAGTGAATGATGCGTTCTTCCATGTGTTTACAGGTTACTTGTGAAATTTGGACTCCAGAAAAGCAAACGTCCTCTGCTAAAAGGAAGTTGCAGGTTGCAGTTTCACCACCTTTGGTGTGTTTCAGGTGTGTGCAAGACACTTCATTCCAGATGAAAAAAAAAAATTTCTTCTGTAAGGTTATCTCCCACACAGGATTCAGTGGGCAGGGATTCATGGTGGATCAGTTTATAATATCCTTTCCCTTAGTCATGTGTGATAGATTCGACCAAGAAGCGATGAATTTTCTTGTGGATTCCCCAAGACTTTATCAGAGAGAAGGCTAACTCCTACCTCCAAGTACCATTTCTGAGAAGCAGAAATGAAACACCTACTCCTTTGTGAAACACCAACTCCATTTCTCCAAAGCCAGACTCCTATTTCCTAGCCCCTGTGTTTGAGTAATAGTGTAGCAGGGCTATGTGCTTGCTGCAGGTTTTTGGCCCCATGCCCAAGGAGCTAGAATTCTTTTGAGATGTTTCTAGCACCCAGTTGCCCCAGACGTTGCTCAGAGCAGGCACTGATAATCCATTTCCGGTAACAATTGCTTTTTTAACTACCCAGTAGCTAGCTATTAAATTTGAAACTCAAGACATTAATAGCTAAATCAACGCTGCAGAGATATGGCTGTAAATCTACAGAAAAAAATGGCAGCATGAAGCTGCATCTCAACTGCTCAAGCAGAGAAATAACACATTTGAACACCAGTAATGAAGCAGTATGACGCCTGCAGGTTGACTTCAACAGCTGAGTAGCAGCAGCTTTTAGTGCCCATGTTGTGAACTGCACCAGAACCACATTGTCCTGCAGAACTGGATTTAAAATCAGCAGGGTTGTAAATCTCCCTGTCTTCCATGTAACGGTAGATGAGGTCTTGTGATGGGTTACAGTTAGTCTGATTCACAAGGAGGATGTGATACTGCTGATTAAGCCAGCTAAAAATGGCTAGGGGAATGAGGAAACCACAGTGAACAGAGCTACATGTGTGACTTGTACTTGCTAATCAGATCTCCTATTCCCAATCTACCAACACTCTAAATGTCTTCTTTTGTTGTTTTTAAATTCTTGGTAGCATACTGCATCAGCCAGAAATTTCAGCAGAGGGGCTAGTCAGTGGCCAGCTTTCCCCTCACCTTACAGCTCACTGCAGTGCCGTGTTGAATAACCTATGCTACTGTGGCCTGTGTTACTTTGCATGAAAACAAGTTGTGGTGACTGGTTTGTAATTACTCGAGGACAATAAAGTTACTGATGGTGAGCTAGAATTGTTCTTTTAATAAATTATCTGGCCTAAAAATTCCAAGACCTTTACTCTGGTTTCTCAGAAGTTGTTAGGTTGGTAAAAAACAAAGTGGCTACAATATTCACATCTTGTAAGAAATAGATACAGAATTATGGTGGTTTTATAGTCATTGATGGTTTTCCTCTGTAATTCTAATTGGAATCTAGACCTACTATAAGCTTCATGAGCTAGACAATGAGAAAAATTGAAATAGCAGGGAATAAATTATTACAGAAACATATATTAGAATCACAGAATCATAGAATAGTTAGGGTTGGAAAGGACCTTAAGATCAAGTTCCAGTCCCCCTGCCATGGGCAGGGACACCTCACACTAAACCATGTCACCCAAGGCTCTGTCCAACCTGGCCTTGAACACCACCAAGGATGGAGCATTCACAACTTCCCTGGGCAACCCATTCCAGTGCCTCACCACCCTCACAGTAGAGAACTTCCTCCTCATATCCAATCCTATAACCATTCCCCCTTGTCCTATTGCTACAGTCCCTAATGAAGAGTCCCTCCCCAGCATCTTTATAAGCCCGCTTCAGATACTGGAACACTGCTATGAGGTCTCCACACAGCCTTCTCTTCTCCAGACTGCACAGTCCCAACTTTCTCAGCCTGTTTTCATACAGGAGGTGCTCCAGTCCCCTGATCATCCTCATGGCCCTCCTCTGAACTTATTCCAACAGTTCCATGTCCTTTTTATGTTGAGGACACCAGAACTGCACACAATACTCCAGGTGAAGTCTCATGAGAGTAGAGTAGAGGGGCAGGATCACCTCCTTTGACCTCCTTTTGACGCATATTGATTTATCTAAAGCATTAGAGAGAAATTAGTTCAAAAAAAGAACAGACCAGTATTCATATTTTCTTTAATATCATTTTCATAATCTAAATTAGGTCCCACTTGTCCCAGGGCCCTTCTCCACTGTGTCTGGATGAAGCAATCTAACCCCTTGTTTTTCTCTCACAGTGCTCTAAATCTGATTTTGGTGGGTTTCTTTTTACCTATCTTGTTCCAAAACTCTTCCTCTGTCCTGGAACACCTCAATCAGCCTGGTACAATTTAAACTTTTTAAGATGGAGATGAAATTTCAGCAGTTGATTTAGAATATTTGATCATCTGTTAAGTTAGAATCACTGCTCATGTAAGTAGAGAGAAGTAAAATCCTTCAAAATGGAATTAAATTTTTTCCTTTGTTGCAGAAAGTGTGACCGAATGTGTATATAAAGTGTTGAAAATACTAGTTAGAATCATAAAGACACTTTCTTAGTCTCAGACACAAACCTGCAAGATCCGCTCCTGTAATTTTGAATTCCTTTTGAGGATTCGCTATTCAAGTTAAATATCAGGTGCAGTCCCATAGTTGGTTATGAAGAGGTGTTCGAATCTGGGGTGTGGCTGTTTTTTCAACACTAGCTGTAAGAGTGTCCCTGCCAATAATGGCTAGTGAATACAGGAATGGGAGTTTTGGTAAGGAAAACATACCAAGTTCACAAGTACATTTGTAAGGAAATGCACTTTTTCAAGTACTAAAGCCACTTGTTCTTGGGCTTTCTGCCTTGCTCTGTGCCTCTTGAGTTCTGCAACAGTGAAAGTGCCTGTCTGTTGTGTCTTGTCACTTGAATATTTATGAATGGTGAGCTCTACGTTGGTTATCATCATGTATTTTCCATACAGCACAGCAAC